TCGACTCTGTACAATAATTTTATTTTTTTTGTTTTCACACATTAAAATTAATATTTTTAGATGATCTTCAAGCAACAATTTTTTATTTTTTTTTCACATAACTTAAAGTCAATTTTTTCTAAATAATCTTAAAGATATACCCCTGCAATAACCCTAAGATTAATTTTCTTTCAATAATCTTAAAAGATGCGTCCCGCAACAGCCTTAAAACTGATTTTTCTCTTGATGATATTAAGGATGCAGCCCGAAACAGCCGATTCAGTACAACAGTGATATAATGCAGTCTTGGGAGACACCAGGCAAGGAGAAGAAGATGTCGTGAAACAAACAGTAATAGTGAAATGACACCAATCAAAACGGACCACCCAACCAAGAAAAAAACCCTTGTGTGTAAAAGTTGACCTGCTACAAAGCAGCCAGGCATTTCCATTCACATACACCAACTATTGATTCAGTTCCAGTTCTGGAGACAAACATGTGCTTATAGAAAGAACCCACTTTTATTAATTCCTCGTTGAGACTGCAACAGTTGCTATTTTTTTCTATTTCTCCTTTTTATGTACAGAACTGTAGGATCATAGAAAATGAAAAACACAAAATCCTGCTCCTTGCTGATGTGATGTACCACTAGGGGAAAAAAAGGAACGGAAAAATACATTAAGAAAAAATTTCCTGTTTCTGCACCAAAAGGAGTATTAATTACAAGATTTAGATGGCTACATCAATTCCCAACGATTGTTGGCCCATACTCTTACTTCAACAGTCGAGTCCTTGGGCTCCCCCTCCCTCTCCTGAAGCCATGCATAACCATCCTTTTCTTCTTCAGGTACTGATACACCATCACCTGAAATTTCATAAGCCCGGGGAAAATTATCAGATTTTCAGAATTTGAAAGGGAAATGCAATCACTCTGTGAAGCAAAGGAAACAGTGGCAAAATTGAAGATCAAGATGCAGTGTCAAACCTGAGAATGTGGAGAAGGGGAATTCCAGGTAGTAGGTGCAGTGCCGTTCATGTCTATCGTATGGAGGGCCAAGCACATCTAGCACTGCACATGCTGTCACGGCTGTGAAGCAATGCATATTGCCTCCATCAGCTGGAAAAAGGATCGAGGTTTGGCAAGGAGCAGTGAAGTCGGAATCAACCTTAACCTTGGCCAAACGGACCTCAGGACGCAGCCCTGCAATCACAAAAATGTTGTGTCAAGATAATTTCTTCCTAATTACTTAAATAGAGATGCATGCCTGCTCCAGTTCTTGTCCTGGGAAGCTCCATGGACATTCTTCCTGAAAGTAATACCATCAAAACACCATAAATGGTTCTCCGGTATCAACATATGCCCTTCTAGACAGGCTACTGGATGTAAAGTTCTAAGATTTAAATTTTGAAAGTTATGTATAACAGTTCATTCATAAATTGTTTGCAAAAATGAATAAATTAATTAATTAATTAACAAGGTCAATTAGAAACAATATGAAAAATGTAAAGAGAACTACTTGCTTCTTTTGATATCTTCTCCTCCACCCAACCCTCCTCTTTTAGGTGCTCCAGCACAGACTTTCTGCTTAGAAACTTCATGCTTGGGTCAAACAATGAGCAAATGAAATCATATGCCTTCGCATTTATTTGTATGACTAATCTCCTCGGCTTCTTACATCTTTCCTTTATCCGGAATAACGCATGCAGCATGTACAAATCACTATTTTAAGCCTCTGAAACTACCTTCTTCCATAATGAAAGACTTGCACCAACAAGAGGAATGAAAATTTTTTTTTTAACTTTTATTAACGAGGAACACTTACCCTCTGAAACGTTCGCAACGGGCAAAGTGTTGCGTGCAGCGTCACCCTCCCAGTCCAATGATTTAATATGCATTGTCCCAAAGAGAAGCTTACTGAAAACTGTCATCCCAGGGTGATTGTGTAGAGGAATGACACCAGATCGTGGAAGACAAAAGATCCCCATCTGCAAAAATTAAAAGACACGACAATTGATTCCCTCAATCCTTCCATATTTCAATCTCGAGTAGTCAGCTAAAAGTTTACATACCGAAAACTTGTCGCAATTATAAAGGTGCAGGTACGTTATAGGCTGAGTTCCCTCAGTTCTCAATGCACGGAAATATGGCATATCTGGAGTAAGATCAAAATCATTCGGTGTAACTTGATCTGCACAAATAAGTACAGTTAAACAAATGACCCTCATACGAGTTTATTAATAACATTGAAGAAAAAAGTGCATAGTGGATATGGAAGCCAATTCAAGTACTAAGATATAGTTGTAAAGAAAACCCTTTCGTGAAAAAAAAAAAAAAAAAAAAATCATGAAAATGGTAAATCATGGGGAAAAAATTGAATCTCTGGTGAAAGCAAACAATGCAGACATATCCACAGATATAATGGTAAGAGAATCCAATAATTATCTAAATAAACACAAAAATTCAACCAAATTTAGAGAAACCCAATCAGAATTATCCCTCAAAACCAAGAGATGCAATCAAGTTATTAAATTGAGGAACCAATTCATGACGATAATCTAAATTTAGACACTACAACCAGACCAAAACCGAGGCCACCTATTATTAAACATAATGATCGAACAAAATGTAGTCAAAACATACCCAAAACCCTTCGCAACCAATTGATATTATCATCGGAGGGGACAATTCCCGTCCCACAAGAGGCAAATACTATGTTGCAAGTATCGCATAGCCTCTGAACCACAGCTTCCATCTTCCTCTGGCGCCGACGGTTCTTCTTCCCTTTGTTTGAATTCGCAATAACGGAATTCGAATTAGTTCTCCTGTTAGTCGAATTAGGCATTCGCACCCTGAAACTCTTTCCCTTTAATTTCAGCCCGCGTCCCACCAATCCCCATTCAGCTTCAGAATTCCGCTTGATTTTCAAAACTCTTCACCACCCAAAAAACCCGATCTGGGCATCAAAGATGAGGAGGAGAAACCAAGAAACGGTGATGAATCAAGAGAAACAGAGGAAACAGGGGAGGTGGAGAACAACGGTACGGACACGGTACTCAGGATGGGTTTCCCGTACAGAAAACGAGGTAAAAGACTGGCATAAACAGAGAAGTGACAATAGGCGTCTCTGCAGTTGATGAAGGGTGAAGATTGAAGGGTATAAAAAGGCGACAAGAATGGATGTTTAGGGTTAAACTGCAAGAGAAAGAGTTGAGGGAAACAAAACCAGGGGCGGGCGGGGACATGGTTGAGGATTCCTATGGGCTGTTTCCGGTGTGCTGTTCAAACAGCTCTTCTTTCCCCAACACTCCAACTCTTCACTTTTCTGTTTTTGGCCCTCTTTTTTTCTTGTTTTTACAATCCACCCCCCTCAGGCCTCAGGAAGAAAAAATGATACTAAACAAACCATAGGAATTTTTTTTTTTTTTTTAAGATGGTGTTTATGTGTCCCACTTAAAAAGAAAAATCTCAAGTTTAAAAATATTATTTTTTGATAAATGTTTTTAAAAATTAATTGTTAAATTTAGTATTTTATTTATGTATTTTATGTATATTAATTTTTAAATTAATTAAATATATAATTAGTTCACTAATTATAAAAAATTTACTACCATTTAATATATATTAAAAATATAAATTTTTTTATCGAATAATTATAGATATTAGATCAACTT